AAAAAGTTGAAACCAAAACAAACAAAACCCATTCCTGCAACTAACTGTTGTTATATTTTTGGAAAGGTAATTTTAAATTCTTTTCAATAAATTAAAAATATACAAGGTGTCCCATATAAAAAATCAATTTTTCTGTTGGTAACTCTTAAATTATTAATTTAAAAAAATATATACCATTAAATTGGAAATGTTTTCATAGAAATACAAAATTTTCCATAGCAAAAAAGTTACAGCAATTTGTTAAAAATGCGCGTTTTTGAAAAACACCTCGTAACTCCGAAACGGTAACAGATATCGATATGCGGTTTCCACCATTATATTTTTGACAAGAATTGACCTCCAGACACTGATATTAGTTTTTGTCTATCTCCTATAGAAAAGGGTGTTTCCATTTAAAAGCGTCGAATTTGACCCACTCTGTACACTCTACTGGTATTTTAAAGTTATAATCTAGTATAAATCGTTAAGTGGGCATGTTTATGTCTGAAACATAAACCAAACATAATCTCTAAATAATCAATTGTAAATATTTAAAAAAATCAATCTATAATGTCGCTGGACAGTAAATATTTTTGTTCTTTCAAAGAGACATAATCCAGTATTATATCTTAAATTACAGTAAAGGTAAGTCTACGACAATCTAAGATAAATACACTAAATAACTAATAAAACTAAAGTATTTTAAGTTAACGTTTCCTTTTTCGTGCTAAGGCCAATCTGAAGGGGGTCTATATTGTTTAAGCGGAATCCAAACTGCGATCTTCGCCCATATCATTTTCAATGGCCTATACCGACTTGGTGAGTGTCTAAATCGTCTCAGATACAGACAAAATCTTCATTCAGAATTCCTCCTCGCAATTAGTGGAATAAATTAGTGGTTTCAATTAAGCTTCACTCAGAACCTCACAATTAGTGGTTTCAATTATTAGCGTAGAAGTTTGTTCCTCTAATTTTAATGTAAACATTCGCAACGTCAAAATTAGTGGTAGTAATTTTCAATTTGTGGAAAAAGTTAAAAAAGTTGTAGCTTCTCCACTAATTATACTTATACAAAATTTGCGAGGAATGTCATTTGCGCCATCATCCGTCAAGTAACAATGCGGTTAGAAATCAAATGTTTATTATTTTATAAGCTGAATATTAGGTTTTCTCTATGAATACAACTGATTACCGCAAGCTGTTGCTAAGATTCTATTAATTTAAATTGTGTTTATTTAGACATTGTGAATGATCGTCAAGTAAAAAGTATAAAGTGTAATTGATACCACTAATCTATTCCACTAATTGCGAGATTCTGAATGAAGCTTTAAGTTTGTTAGCGTAAAAGTTTGTTAACTTTTTTCACTAATTGATTACTACCACTAATTTTGACGTTGTCAATGCTTACATTGATATTAGAGGAACAAACTTCTACGCTAATTGAAACCATTGATTTATTCAACTAATTTTGAGGTTTTGAATGAAGTAAAAAAGTTACTACTTCTCAAACCAGTTAAAAAATATGTAGGTGGCGCCCACTACAAGTACCCTCATCGTTTTGACATCGAAGCCAATTTTCTCGTGTCAAAAAACTACCAGTTCACCTATTTTCATCCAAATATCGACGTTAGTTCACAAATTATTGGGAAAACATCGAAGTAAAAATGAAACTTCTCCACTCTATATCTCCTAAATGAAGAATTTTAGGACATACATTTGTAGGTACTTTTTTACTTATTTTTATCTGCAGAATATACTGCTGAAGTTTCCCGGGTAGAATTCGGACCACCCTGTATATTCGATATCTAAGTAGTATTTTTTGTCTAAGGGATATTATATATTGATTGCTACTTTTCAAATTGTTACCCTGTATAATTTATATAAATAAAAGATATAAATTATTTTCCTTTTATAAAGTTAAAGAATGGATATATCTTTAACACCAATATTAATAAAAAATCGATTACTATGTAGGTTGTGGCGTATTGGCTTTTTAATTATAACGATCTAGACCTTGAACCCTTATAGAGAATATTTTCTCAATGATTCTATTTTAATAGGGCTTTGATCTAAACCTTAATATATTACTTCTACATGGCTGGCAATAAGCAAAAGAATAATATATTTTAAGGGCACGGAGAAAAACCAACGCTTAATGCCTCTTTCTATTAATATTTATTTCTATTTTATGTTTACCCTGAATTAAATGTGTAAATGTACATACATCAAATATAAACCCAAAGATCTCACTAATTTGAGATTTCAATTTATATTTATGATGTACAACTTAACAAGTATAGCTAGAGACGTGAGAAATATAAATTAACACGCGACCGGTGCTATCTCCAAGTCTCTTCCTATATTTATACAACTGTACTTACAATTATTTCTTTTCTTTTAAGTGAAATAACTAATAACGTTACGATTTAAGAACGATTAATTTTGCAGTAGTTATTTAAAAAAGTTGAAAGAGTCAAATTACAACATTGTAAAATATATTTTAAAATATTATTTGAAATATTTTTAAAATTAATATCAAATGACTCTTAAGCGGCCCATACATTATCAAACAAATTGCGCAACACAGGCTGTTGCGCAACGAGTTGCCAATGTATGGTAACGTTTGATGTGTTGCGCAACTGTTTGGTAAGTTTCAAGAATGTTGAATTCTTTTGTGCAACAGGCGTTTGCGCAGCGCGTTGTGTAGTGTATGTGTGAGTTGCGCTTCGTTCTGCAATGTTTTAGTTTTTTCATCCAAATGCTTTGTTTTCATTTTCGTTTTTTGGTTTGGTTCATTGACATCATCTAGGGTATATACTATAATAATTGACCCAATGGCAATTGAGGACATGATTATTTCTCAAACAATGTTCAACTTTTAATAAAAAGTTTGATCAAAATTTTACTAAGTGCATGGGTGATGTAGTTGTGCAACGGAACGTTGCGCATCGCTTTGTTGCGCAACTTGTTTGATAGTGTATGGACCGCTGAATCATTTGTGCAACGCAACGTTGCGCATCGCTTTATTGCGCAATTTGTTTGATAATGTATAGGCCGCTTTAGCCGATCTGATTATACAAGGTGTGTCTTAAATAAGTGAAAATATTTTCAGGGCTGGTAGATCTCGATAACAGAAACATATCTCGTTAATAGAAACATATTTTCTCTCTACTGTTTTTCAAATAAGTTCAAAATAACACAGATATTTTACTTTGAAAATTAAAAAAAAAATATTTTTTGCTTAAATCTTGAGAACCAGTGGATCTTTTCTGGGTTTTCTTCCTTCTAAAATTAATATACTACATAACTTGCCATATTATCAAGAAATGATATTTTTTAACTAAAAAAATTTCCAAGAAATGTTTTCAATTTTTTTTCGGGAAAAAACACTCATAATCGTATTTCTGGAGTCGAAATATACTGCACCTAAAAATATTTGCTAAAGTATAATAAAAATATAAAAAATTGTTAAAGTACAAACAAATTATATTGACGAGTATTTGTAGAACTTCGCTCTGATTAAATTCTTTATGATGGCCATAATGTTTTGTTATACATTGTGTCAATTTTAAAACTTCCCACCCTTAATATCTTTCTTGCAGTTAAAAATATGAAAAATCGGAAAGACACGTCAATTTTATTTTTAAAGGGGGCACTTTCAATGAATATTTTTAGCGTTTTTCTTTCAACCCCCTAGGAGACGTAGATGTCACCTTTACAATCTTAAATGGGAATGGGGGTCACGTAGCACATCGTTTTAGAGGGCGTTTAATTCTCTTTTCAGTGGTATCCTACTTGTGGTGTTGCTTTTTTTCAGAGGTTTCCGAATAATCGCGTTTCAAAGTTGCAGAAACAATTAAACATGCCTGCATTGAGATTTTGGTTTTCACGCTAATGTTTACATAAAAATCATTGCAATGGATCTCCTTGTGGTACAGATGACTAGAAGATTAGGTTACACCACTTACGCCCTATCTTATAAGTTGTTCAAAATGTTGCCCATTTTCCTGTAAACAATAATTAGTTAATGTTTATGATGTTTTCTGTTAATTAGTATTTCAACCCCCCTAGAAAAATGTAACGACTACGTCCATGCTGCCACCTAATCTTCTAATTATTTGTACTACAAGGAGACCCATTGCAATAATTATTGTCAAACAGGCATGTGTAATTGTTTCTGCAACTTTGAGACGCCATAATTCGGAAACCCCTGGACAAAAAGCAACATAGTAGGATACCACTGGAAATAGAATTAAACTGCCTTTAAAACGATGTGCCACCTGATCCCCATTCCTATTTAAGATTGTAAAGGTGACATCTACCCTTCCTAGGGGGTGAAACAAAATGGATAAAAATATTCATTTAAAGTGCCCCCCTTACAAATAAAATTGACGTGTCTTTACGATTTTTCATATTTTTAACTGCAAAAAAGATATTAAAGGTGGGAAGTTTTAAAATTGACACAGCGTACATACAATAAATACCATACCATATCAATGTTTTTCTAATACCGATATTTTGGATGAAACAGCTTTACCTATGTTTCTTTGAATGTGATTGACAATGATTCAATATTGATACTAAAAGGCTTTCGGGCTTCTACTTTCGGGCGCCATTTTTACTTATATTACACAACGTTTCGGTCAGATTAACCCTAACCGTTATCAAGTCTAAATAAATAAAAAAAACTATGATGCCTATCTAGAGAACATGTATACAGGTCCACCTGTGACGGAGTAGGGTATAGCTGTGGGTATAGTCAAGCGTGGAGTTGTCCACCTAGGATGCCAGTATTGGTACATTTTATAAATCGTTGCCATATTATAGAAATTTTTATACTTCGATTACTAATCATGTTAACTCCATACAAAAATATATGTACACCACAAATACAAAAAAAATGAAAATCTCTACGTATAAACAATATTCTAATCGTTTCTTCACAGATTACTAAATATTTAGTAATCTGTAGTTTCGTCATTTATAAATTTTACGATATAATTAATTTTGGTAGTACTTACTTTGAATTGTGAGCAGCAACCAAGTGCAAGAAGCAGCCCAATGCAAATAATTGTTTGCGAAACATCGCCACCAGCCCAAGACGCAGACAGCGATGTTAATGGAGATGCAACAAACGGACCAAATTATCTCATCAGTATAATGGTAGAGATTCAGTTCTTGTTCGTTGCTAGCCCAGACAACTATTAACGCCACCTATAAAAATAAAAGAAATAATAGTTGTGCAGAAATGAACGGAAAATCAACCGTTGACTTTATGCGTATATTACATATTATAACCAATACTTTTAAAAAGGCAGTTTATTTACGTATTATAGAGGTATAACTCTTGTCTACCAATAAGGTCGTTGTTTCGAATCCTGCACCAACATGTCTTCAGTCACCTCATTTTGGTGACAATAACAATAATTTGGGTATCTAGGTTGACTCAGCCTTTATTTAGTACCTAGTATTCATCATCCTTAAGAAAATAAAAAGAGATTGAAGCATTACTAGTCAGACTACCTACCTATTATACCAAGCTCTAGTATAGCAAGTTTTACCTTCCTACTCTCAAGGTATATAAACGCTATACGTGGAATAATCTATATCACTACATACATATAAATATGTAAATTATTTCGTTGAAGTAATCATAATTGAATTGCAAAATAAAACACTAATTCACCACAATACACGAAAACAATTTATTTTTGCACCGGACGCGCGTTTCGCTAACCATGTTAAAGTTATTTCTGAAAAATTCGACTTTTCAAGTGAAGAAAGATACGTCAAGTTATTTTCAATACCGATTGATAGAGAGTTATCCCATGGTTTAAAAAGAATTTTTAAGAATGTCAATTATAAACTTGTGTATATTGCTAATAATAAATTACAACAATTATTATTAGGTAATCCTAAAGAGATAACACCTCCACTGGAAAGGTCGGGTATTTAGGAAATTTTGTATAAAGATTGTTATCAGAAATATGTTGGGCAAACTAGAGAATAAATAATAACTAGATTTAAAGAACATATGGGTCAGATAAGATATAGCAAACCAGATAAATCTCGCATTGCTCAACATATTTTTAATAAAGAACATTGTATAGTTATTAATAATTTAAAAAATTAATTAAACAAGTCTCAAATTACAGTTAAAACATTTTTAACGAAACGCGCATCCAGTGCAAAAGTAAAATGTTTTTGTGTATTGTGGTGAATTAGTGTTTTATTTTGCTGTTGTAACACCAAAAGTTGTAACCACCCTGAACTGTAATCATAATAATTATTGGATTCTTTGGATTTTATTTCTTTTTTCTAATCTTTCATGCAGACAACTCTACAGCGACAAAATGTTCTTATTAAAGCATCAATATCAAAAAATAATACCCAATCTTCTGATATGCTCTGTACACAGCGTAGATGACCTGGTGCATATCATCAGTACTTCACAAGTAAAGGAGAAACGTTCAGCGATGACACAAGATAGACATAAAAATATGAAAAATATAACTTAAAATACTAATTAAACAACAATAATATTCATTATTTTAAATAATAAAAATCCTCAGCTGGCGGGGATACACTTTAGGGTGGGAATGCTTCTCATAGATTGTGTATCTCAAGAAACGGCGGATTTGTTGATGGAAATGGCACCTAAGCTTAAGAACTGGCAATGGCGGGAACTGGTTGCAGTGAAGGGAGCAAACATCCCAAAAGGGGCGACCATCACTGTCTTTCTACCAAGGAGCAAGAAGAAAGACACCATCTACGTGCTGAGCCTTCTCCAGCCTCAAAACTCCAATGTATAAGGACTTAATATAATTACTCATAATAGGAATTGACATCAAATCCAAGGAGGCAATAGAGAATGTGTCATATCCTCCATTATAGTTTTGGGAAAACACCTGTATAAGTTCTAAGGAGAGACCAAGTTAAAGAGGTGGAGAAAATGGAGACAGATCCTCCAGCCCCCATGTCATGGGTACCCGAGAAAAGCTTCTCGGCTGTGAAGGGTACAGAGGGCCAAACCCCAACCATGAAAGGGTGTACAACCTTAAATAAAAAACGATTAATTTAGGAAAATGTATTATGAGTTATAACTCACGGCACAATCAAATATTTAAAGTCGCAGTGATTACCCCCCCCCTAAATTAATAAATTATGAAATTTGCAGATATTTAACTAAAATTTAGTTTAAAAGGAGTCAATTCTAACCGTACATAATTTGGTTTGTAGGATAAAATAAACATCTTATATGAACGATATATTTAAATAATATAATTGCAAAATTAGACATTAAGAAACAACTACAATGAAAATAAGATCAGTCCAAAATAAGGTTTTCAGCAATTAATCAGAAAATGGCGAAATATCCAGGGTTTTGCTGATAATTTTTTATATAAAATACGGACTTAAAAAATAATTCAAATATTAAATTAATGTTCAAATTAAAAAAATATCTTAACCTGTAAAATATAAATAATATACAATTATTATAAAACTTAAAAATCTATACATATCTATATTAATTGTATAAGTAAATCTAAGCTAACTAAAATGATCAAAATTAAAATGATTTATAAATAACCGTTTTTACATAATTGTACAAATTCAACTAAAAGTTCTTTCATTGCTTGTTTATATTTCTCACTTTCCAATCCCACATCAACGACAGCTCCCCTAGCAAGCATTTGTTTTGGCTTTTTTTCGCCAAAAAATAGTTCTTCTCTAACTTTGGGATCCAATTTCATAACAACAGAATAATATAATGACTGCATTACAGCTTCAATTCGCATGTATTCCATACTTTTGACAAAATCTTCATGTGATAGGATGTTATCAGTAATAATACCAAAATTTTCTAAATTCTTAGACAGGTTTTCATAATACTGTTCAGTTAATTTAGTTAAATATGTATCTCTCGTTTCTTTAGAACTATTTTCATAAATAAAGAGCAATAAGTCTTGAACAGGAGGACAGTATCTTAGTAGCTGAAAGTCGACAAGTAAGATGTCCTGACAGATAGTACCACCATAATATTTTAATAATACGTTGGCCACGTGCATATCTCCATGGCATATTACATTGCGAAATTGTTTGGATTCCTTAACTCTTTCGAACATTAATTTCCAGCCTTTCTTCAATTTGTCTTCAAGTTCCATAAAAGTGAATTCATCATATATATTAGGAAACTTTTCTAGCAAATATAATAAGTTATCAAAAGACCTATCGAAATTTGGGGTCATAGAATGACTTTTATTGTCTATTAAAAATGCTTCGCAAAGATATTCACTAAATACCTCCTTAAATGTTATTGGATTTTTATCGTTTCTGTTCCAAAGCTCCTCTAGAATGATACACGAAGAGTGAAAATTTGCTAATTTTGAAATTGTTAAGCTTAAACAATGAAAATCCAAATTTGTATTAGGTGTAACACCTACATATCCCGCCGTAGCCAAATTATCTAGAACAAGAAGATCATTTTCTCTGGACAAATAGCATTGTGGTGCAAAATTTTGAAGACTTTCAAGACCGTATTCCTGGAGCAATGGCAAGTATGTTAAATAGAAAAATTCTTCCTTTTTGGAACATCCGTTTTCTATAATATGTTGTAGATGGTCTGATTTGGAAAAAATTGATTTAACGAAGAAATTATAATGTTCTATATTATGTTCAAATTCTAGGTCAACTTTTAAACTAAAATAATCACCCAAATGTCCATTCCTTTCTTTCAGTTGGACTAGATCATATGAAATCAATTTGTAATCACTGGATTTCAATTTATTTCTGAGAATAGCATAAACGTCCTCCTTGTGTATTTTTGGGTATTGGAAAAAAAGTTTTAAGTTGCCTAAAAGCTCTTTTAGTCGTATTTTGCATCCAAATTCTTGAAATATATTGCACACGTCGAATTTAACTATAGGCAGAAGTGTCTTAAACTGTTGTTCGTATGCAATTTTTGTGGGTGAACCATTATTTTTTAAACAACTATAAAAATATTCTTTCAAATCGTTGAAATTAATTTGGCGAAAGCTCTCGTCAGAATAGGTAAAAATATAATACAAAGCTTCATATACAACAGGAACTAATACATTCTGAAAATTACTTCGAACGTAACTACTCGACTGTTCAAAATTTTCAATAGAATTTTTTATTTGCTTGATTTCTTCTTCTATAACTTCTGTTTTGATATCGGGAAATAACTTAAACCAACGCGCTTCGTTAATTGAATATTTTTCATAACTGCTTTCAGCGGCATTTTGTGTTTGATAACCTGCCAAATCATGTAACTTCTGTTTTATGCCTTTCAAATCGTTCACTTCACATTCACCCATTTTAATTTCCACTGATAAAACAAATAGTTAAACCATACATTGCACTGTTAATATTTTTTAAATAATGAACAACTTGACAATATTACTATTTATGTCTAGCTACTATTTGCTAAGTAATCGTTATTTAAAAAGACTGGTTCAGTTGTCAGGTGATGCTGTTATTTTATATGTAGATTTTGTTTAAATATTGTGAAATAAAGAATGAATAAACGCAAATATAAGTAAAGCTCACCTAAAATTAACAACATATTTTTGTTGATTCTTAGTTCTCATTAATATGACCATGTATATTTTTATAATTATAGTGAAAGATAGTAAGGATTAAAGTGTGTGTTGTTGCTTTTTAACATTTAAAGGAAGAAATTATAATTTTGTGTGTCATGATGAACAAACAAAAATAAATTGAAATATAATTAGGATATTATTAATTAATAAATACTATCTATTAACTAAACCAAAGTATTTTTTGTGATAATGTCATAAAATTAATTTAAAGTGGATATGTATTTATAAAAAACATCAAATCTAATTAATAATTTACTGCAGCAGAAATTGAACATATTCAATTATGTGTTTTTGTAGTATAGGTATATAATTTTAAATAATATAAATTATTGGAGATATACACTATGTCCCCGGATTGTATTTAGAAGAGGAAAAAACTTTTTTATTGTTGGTATTTTGAGAAAAATGCATTTTTCATAAACTTATTTGCTTGTTCTAAGTGGTTAATCTTCCTATCTACCCTATATTATATATTTATACTTTTTTTATATTATTATTAGGTGTGGATATTTGGAAAAGTATAATCGGGATTAACCACTTTAGAACAAGCAAAAGTTTTTATGAATAATGCATTTTTCTCAAAATACCAACAATAAAAAAGTTTTCCCTCTTGAAAAGACAATTCAGGGGACATACTGTACATTGTAAGCCAAAACTAGTTATCTTTTTTATCTTATTTTCTTTTGCTAGTTCAAACACGCTTTTTTTTTGTTTGTTACACTATTTGAAATAGGAATGAAGAAAATGTAATATCTAGTTTTTACTAGCGCATACACTAAGTGATATATTTTAGATTGAAACTCAAGGCCAATCAGAGGTATAATAAAATGTTCCTTTAATAACCTCTACACTACTCGCAAAGTAACCCGAAGTAGGTCAAGGTTAAATAGTGAAAAGGGTTATTTCGTATTTCCTCGCCTAACTTTGTCTCGCCTTAGCTTATTTTCATTCGGCGGGAAAACACGAAATCTTCATTATTCGACTTTGACCTAGTTCGGCTTATTTCGCGAGTAGTGTAGTGGCCGATTTTCAGTTATTGGTCATATTGCCTGTTATTACCTAAAATTTATTCAGACAATCGAAACTATACTCCCATTAAACATTTAGAGTTCATCTGTTTTAAATTAAATAAAATTTATAATTAATGTATTGGGTTACTACTATAATCAAACAACAGTAATCATTATTATTTTATTTTATAAAAAATACATTATCATTAAGATATTTAACTAAAAACTATTTAAATCTAACTGTACATATTTTAGTTGTTTATAATTTTAATAACGACAGTTTGATTATATCAAATAACTATAATATATTTGATCATTGAGGTAGGTATAACTTAAATAGTAGACTTAGATTGTAGAATACTGTTACGTTTTTCGTCGGTTCCGTGTGGATAGAAAGTCACAATTTATTTAAACACTATTTATTCAACACTAATTAACAAAACTAATAACGATAAACGACTTATAGAACTATTTACAAACGATTTATAACTAAGAATTTATTTTGAATTTTAGCGCGTCAACTGTATATTTATAACTGCCCTCTCTAGGCCACTGCCGCCGGCTTTTATACCGACAGGTAAAAGAAATCTAGAATAGTCCAAAGATCGTTAGGCGCATAGAGAAGGTTTTCGAATGTTCTCGTATGTACGAGTCCATTCTAGTGGGTCTCGATTCTTCTCGAACGAATGAATCATTGCGGTGTCTGTGCGATGTTAAGGTCATCCGAGGGCGGGCCATATTGTGAGGTTAGGTCGAGTCCACACCGGCTCGCAACAATACAAATACAATTAAACATTGAGGCACAAACACCATAACAAATCAATATGATATATTTTAAAAAGGTCCTTATTTATTAGTTACTCTGATGGTCAAAAAATGCCAATGGACATAAAATTTAGTAAGATTTTTGGTAAAGGTGTGGATCCGGTGGCTGACCTTGAAGCCCATATTTGCTGCATTTGATCATCGATACTACGCAAGCGCACATCGTCGATATTGCCAAATTGCACTTTATTTTCGAATTATTTGCAGTTGAAAATTTTCTTTTGAGTGTTAATCAATAATAATACAAATTCTCTAATTAATTTTATAATTTCAGATTTATCTTGATATCCAAACTTAAGGAATAATATATAAAATTGTAATATTAATAACATTTATTTATATATTTACATTAGAATTAAAAATTATCATTTACGAATTTTTTCTTAATGGTTTTAAACTTATTAGAATTATTTTATTTCTTTCAAATTATTTAATTTCTAGTTATTTACAGGCAACAATAGTTCTGATTATATGTATTGATGTATTGAAGTACTCCCATGACGAGTCTTATAGAACAATACACGTCAATGGGAGATAGAGGTAACATTTTACCTATAATGTTACTAATATAATATACTTTGATTATAATGTTTGTATCATAATTTCTTAAAAATATCAAGTTAGTGGATTAATAGCAATTTTAGACATATATTTTATCGAAGAGTGTGGTGATAAGACTAAAATAAGCTTTATGTTTTATCTTTTTCTCTTTATAAGGGAGATGGTTTGTGTCGTAGAATTACAGTATTTAATATCGTGTAGTTTGATATTCTTTTCTTAATTTACTGTAATTTTTTGTTTCCTATAATGCCAAATGTTGTCAATATGGTGAAGGTTGAGTTTTTATCTTATTAGTTTTATACCTGTGTTTATACAAGACCAAATTAAGACTTAGTTTGTGATTTATTAAGATCTTTCTTATAATATTTGTTATGTCTTAATCTTAATACTATATTATGCTTTGTCTGGAAAATAAATGTTAAATATCTTAATTTTGCATATCCTATTCCATCCTTCCATTAGGAAAAATATGGTTTATAAATCATATTTTGCTAAGAAAATCACATAAATTAGGTGTAAGAATAGAGATCTTAAGGTAGCAGAAAAATTAATGCAATATATGTATAAGCAGGATTAAACAAGGTAACTGTTAATGTTGCTGAAGCTGATTCTACACAATTTTAATTACGGAGGCTAAAAGGCCTTTTAAGGCCTCCGTAGTTTTGATGGAATGTTAAAAAAACTATTATGAACATGACATGAAGCTACAGCATTTAAAAATTAAAAAAAAAAGAAAAAACTTGGACACATCCCTTTTAATTTCCCGAATTTTTAATAAAGCCCTTTTTAAACGTAGCATAATAATATAGAGCAATTAGATTAATTATAGGAATCTAGAGTTTTATTTCTATTTAATTTTATTGACTATGAAAATACATAATAACCGTTCACGTGTTGTGCGAAATATTAAAATAATAATATAACTAATGCCGCGTACTATGATTGAAAAAAAATAGCGGCAGCGATGATTATGAAATGAAGATCGCTGTTATTTTATATGGGAAATGTCCTCAATCGTCATTTCCCAGCCAACTGGACGCCGTTTTTTTGATCATACGGTATATATTGACAAAAAAACACTGAAAAGCATATATTTGTTTTCTACTGAAAATAATTCCAAAATAACTTGCAATCTGGCAACATCGAAGATGTGCGCATGCGTAGTGTGACTATATGCAGCAAAAACTCGTTTCAAGGTCAGCCACCGGATCCACACCATTACCAGATTTTTTATATAATGTAAAGCATAGCCAAAACCTCGCAAGATTTGAACGAAATAAAAGTAATATTGATTTCAACAAAATAATATACAGGGTGAGTCTTAAAAAAGTGCAAATATTTTCAGGGCTGATTAATCTTGCTAAAAGAAACAGAGTTTCTCTTTACCGTTTTTCAATTAAGTCCAAAATAAACGAGCTATTCAAGTTTGAAAATTAAAAAAAAAAAATGATTTATTTTAAAAAAAAATCAGGGTCACCGTATTTTTTTCTGTATTTGTATTCCTTTTAGTGCTGTAACGCCTTTATCCATGGTAATATCAGAAACTAAGAAATTATATCGTGGAGACATTTACGGTAACGGGCAGTTCTAAAAAGTGTTTTAAAATATAGCGGAAAATTTAAAAGAAAATCACAATTTTCAACATTTTTTTGGCGAAAAAAGCCTCATAGACGTGTTCCTGGCTTCGAAATATACTACCACTAAAAATATTTGCACTTATTTAAGACTCACCTGTATAGTTAAAGTAAAATTTAGATTTGCTGGTGAAAATAGTTGCTATTATTTTTTTTATATACATGTCTTTATCTGCGCTGGATGTCTATATCTCTGTTGTTTATAAAGTCGCCTTTTTTGCTTAGTTGGTCACATTTTATATAAAGTAAGAACTAGATAAATAAAACAGTTATAATAAATCTACGTTTAAATTACAAAATATTTTAAAGTATAAATATTACATACAAATTATTTAAAAGTATAAACAGAATAAAATTTAAATTTAAATATTAATATTAGATACAAAAATTAAACTAAACTAAAAGCTATACAAATAAATTAAATTAATTTATAGATAACCATTTTTACATAATTGTACAAATTCAACTAAAAGTCCTTCTAGAGCGTTTTTATATTCATCACTTTCTAATCCTATCTCAACAAGACCTCCCCTATTAAACAGTTTTTTTGGCTGCTTTCCACCAAATAATACTTCTTCTCTAGTTTTGGGATTTATTTTTAGGATTAAAGAGTAAAAAAATGCATGACTTATAGCTTGAACTCTCATGTATTCCATACTTTTGATGAAATCTTCATATGATAAAATAGTATCGATATTAATACCAAAGTTTCCTAAATTATTAGACAGAATTTCATAATACTTTTCAGTTAATTTAGTTAGGTATGTATCCCTAGTGTCTTTAGAGCTATTTTGGTAAATAAAGAGCAGTAAATCGTGAA